GACCGCCCAAGAGGCTCCCAGGCCCCAAGGCGGGCCAAGACGGCCCCAAGACTGCCGAAGAGGCGCCCAGGACAGCTCCAAACCACACCAGAACAGGCTCAAGATGAGCTCAAGAGCGTGAGCAGGAGGCCTCCAGAGACTTCTGAAAAGACTCCGGAGCCCCCCAGAGGCCCCCAACACACCCCAGACCCCTGAGAGGCCCCAAAAAAGCCCCGACGAGGCCCCAAAAACAGCCCAAAAGAGCTTCCCGAGAGAGCCCGAACAGGGTAAAATCGTTGGTTCCCACTGGTTTTTCCTGCGTTTTTCGGCTTCTCACGTTTTCCCGCTTCCAACGCTCAAACATTGAGGAACTTGAAAATTACCCTGGCGACGTCCCCAACCCCTGCGCAATGCAGGGCATGAGTAGATTGGGAGACGCTATACGGAGGTGATGACGTGACATGGGCGCATATACTTCTGCGACCGCCATTCGTGTGGCTCGCAGCCCCCCAAGGATTGCGATGTCTCGCTCAGATCAGATCTGCCTAGTGCCTCGCTCCGCTGAACCCGCCACCAGCCTTCGAAAGTTGCGACGGTTTCGCAGATCGCAGCCCCCCAGGGACGGCGAGGTCCCGCTCAGATCCGCGCGGTGCCTCACTCCGCAGGACCCACCAGCAGCCTTCGAAAGTGGCGACAGTTTCGCAGATCGCAGCCCCCCAGGGACGGCGAGGCCCCGCTCCGATCTGCGCAGTGCCTCACTCGGCTGGACCCGCCAGGAGCCTTCGAAAGTGGCGACAGTTCCGCAGATCGCTATGCTGGCCCCCCAAGAAGCCCTCGAAAGTTGCGACGGTTTCGCAGATCGCAGCCCCCCAAGGACGGCGAGGAAAGTGGCGACAGTTCCGCAAATCACTACGCGGGCCCCCCAAGTAGCCCTCGAAAGTGGCGACGGTTTCGCAGATCGCACACCCCCAGGGACGGCGAGGTCCCGCTCAGATCTGCGCGGTGCCCCAGTCCGCAGGACCCACCAGCAGCCCTCGAAAGTGGCGTCAGTTTCGCAAATCGCAGCCCCCCAGGGACGGCGAGGTCTCGCTCAGATCTGCGCGGTGCCCCAGTCCGCTGGACCCACCAGCAGCCCTCGAAAGTGGCGACAGTTTCGTAGATCGCAGCCCCCCAGGGACTGGCCCGGGGACGGCGAGGTCTCGCTCAGATCTGCGCGGTGCCTCACTCCGCAGGACCCACCAGCAGCCATCGAAAGTGGCGACAGTTTCGCAGGACGCAGCCCCCCAGGGACGGCGAGGTCCCTCTCAGATTTGCGCGGTGCCTCACCCCGCAGGACCCACCAGCAGCACTCGAAAGTGGCGACAGTTTCGCAGATCGCAGCCCCCAAGGGCGGCGAGGTCCCGCTCAGATCTGCGCGGTGCCTCACCCCGCTGGACCCACCAGCAGCCCTCGAAAGTTGCGACAGTTTCGCAGAACGCAGCCCCCCAGGGACGGCGAGGTCCCGCTCAGATCTGCGCGGTGGCTCACTCCGCTGACCCACCAGCAGCCCTCGAAAGTGGCGACCGTTTCGCAGATCGCAGCCCCCCAGGGGCGGCGAGGTCTCGCTCAGATCTGCGCGGTGCCTCACTCCGCAGGACCCACCAGCAGCCTTCGGAAGTGGCGACAGTCTCGCAGATCGCACACCCCCAGGGACGGCGAGGTCTCGCTCAGATCTGCGCGGTGCTTCACTCCGCAGGACCCACCAGCAGCCTTCGAAAGTGGCGACAGTCTCGCAGAACGCAGCCCCCCAGGGACGGCGAGGTCTCGCTCAGATCTGCGCGGTGCCCCAGTCCGCAGGACCCACCAGCAGCCCTCGAAAGTGGCGACAGAGTCGCAGACCGCAGCCCCCAGGGACGGCGAGGTCTCGCTCAGATTTGCGCGGTGCCTTTCCCCGCAGGACCCACCAGCAGCCATCGAAAGTGGCGACAGCTTCGCAGATCGCAGCCCCTCAGGGACGGCAGGGCCCCGCTCAGATCTGCGCGGTGCCTCGCCCCGCTGGACCCACCAGCAGCCATCGAAAGTGGCGACAGTCTCGCAGATCGCAGCCCTCCAGGGACGGCGAAGTCTCTCTCAGATCTGCGCTGTGCCTCACTCCGCTGGACCCACCAGAAGCCCTCGAAAGTGGCGACAGTTTCGCAGATCGCAGCCCCCCAGGGACGGCGAGGTCCCGCTCAGATCTGCGCGGTGCCTCACTCCGCAGGTCCCTCCAGCAGCCCTCGAGAGCGGCGACGGTTTCGCAGATCGCAGCCCCCCAAGGACGGCGAGGTCCCGCTCAGATCTGCGCGGTGCCTCATTCCGCTCTTACTCCGCTGGACCCACCAGCAGCCCTCGGAAGTGGCGACAGTTTCGCAGATCGCAGCCCCCCCCCCCAGGGATGGCGAGGTCTCGCTCAGATCTGCACGGT